GAAGTACCCTCTAGGTACTGTGCTGCCACAATTTTCTAATCTTGGGGGGGGGGGGGGGGATTGAGCCAACATCCTCACATTCAATCACAGGTTCCCAGTCTTTAGTTCTTTCTCTTAGGATGTACTGTTGTAAATATATACAGAACCCTTTCTCAAAGACCCTTCATACTTGACGAAGGACTCGTAACGGAGGTCAAAACGTGGCCTGCATACCAGATGGAAAACAGTAGCATCAATGTGTAAGCGCATAAAATACAGTATTTTATGCATTAACACAACAGTGAGAGTATTTATTTAACACAATGGACAGTCGCCTTTAATGGAGTGCTAAATGTCATTTATTTTCACTGAATATTGGATATGTTGAAAAGCTAAGCTGTTTATTTTCTCTAAGCTTTGTGAAAGTTGAAAGCTTTCCCAATCTGAGAAAATATCGTTATATACATAATATTATAGCGTCATACTTTCCAGTGTGACTTGTTGGTCATTTACATTTATCTTACGGGAGGTTGTAATATTTAGATATTACCCGCCAACCATAGGAAGAGGTAACTCTCTATACTTACAGTGTGGAAATAAAAAAAATTGCATAGGCAAGGAAATTACAAAATGTAGCATAAAATAAATAAGGTGAAATTCTCGTTGAATTAAAATAAGTTTATTAATGAATAGGAAAAACAATGTTTTGGGCAATAACCCTTCATTATGTTTCCAGTAAGGACAAAATTGTATATAATTATAGAATCTGAGGATGCATGATGACTAGGTGGTGCCAACTGTGCAAGCATCTCCTGTTACCTGTTCGAAGTTACCACTCTAGGAGTGAAAATAACTCCCAAACGCAATTATGTTTCTCATCAATTCTCCAGTTAATCCCTTGACAAATTTGTCAATAAGGATATATTTGCAATTGCCTGAGGCCATTGCAGTATATGTCTTACCTAGGTGTATGTGTAGTCATACATATTTAAACATAAATTACATAAAGAAAGCTGTAGGAATTGAACTAACCCTTGATATGATGAAGATGCATTAGAAGTGTGAGCTTTTGTCAAGACAGTGGATGGGGTTGCTCTAAAGTTTTAATAGGGTGGGCAGCTACTAATTACCACCAGTTGACTAGTAATTTCCAGGTCACTGAGAGATGAACCAGCCACAGCAGACATTTTTTTTCAAAATGTATGAGACTGAGCAGACAAGCAAATTCTGGTACCAGCACATGACATCCACTGTCAAAGGATGCATGATGACTAGGTGGTGCAGGTGTTAATTGTGCAAGCATTTGCTGTGACCAGTTCAAAGTTACCACTGTAAGGGTGGGAATATCTCCCACATCCAAGTTATGTTTCATCAGCTCTCCAGTTAATCCCTTGACAAACTTGTCAACAAGGACATTCTTGCAATTGCCTGAGGCTATTAAAGTGTATGTATTACCATGTAACTGGCACAGATAATCTATCTAAGTGGCCAGGCTTTCTGGACAGCTCATGAACTGCTCAATTTTCTAGTCTTGCTTAAATGTGTGATGGAGATGAAGGCTGAACTGTCCAAGTTTAGGGTCAGTTGTTGCACTATCTGATCTAGAGCCCAGCCATTCTGAGCACTTACCTGCCAAAGACACTCTGAGAAGTGGTTTAGATCCTCTTTTGTCACACCCTTAAATATCAAGGGTGAACTCTTCACATCATACACCTAGTGTCGTGGACAAAGCTTATCCCTTATTGGATTTAAATACTTAGTAATCCCACAGTTTTACTGAATATTTACTTAATATTGTTTTAGTATAAGGTGCAGTCAAGATGCATGAAAATGCAGACTCTAAGTGTGCTACTGGAGGCAGAAAATAACACCCAAACAGTGCCAGTTTGTAATCACGTCTGGCTAGTGCTGAACTTGTATCTTAAAAAAAGTCTCGAGGGCAAAGCTATGTGTGAGAGTAGATGGATCCTCATGGTCCAAAATTATAGCTTGACACTTGAACAATGGCTAGCCTGTATCAACTAGTTGTGTAGGAACCAAAGTTGGCAGTCTTGACCCTGATTTCTCTCCTACTAGATCTGGTCTTTGTTTACTTGATAACCAGAAGGTGAAAAGGGATTTGACTAGGTCGTAGGTTAAGCTGTATTAGCCGTTTTCGGGAAAATGATGACAGTGGAGAGCACAGCTATGTGTGTTGGTCAAACATGAGAGCCAATGAAGCCTGAAGGACAAAGACGTCCACAGGTGCAAGGGATAAACTATCTACAAGCAATACACACATATTGTAGCATTGTTGTGACGAAGCAGTTACATCACTTACAACTACACTTTTAGCTGAATTTTTGACAATCAAAATTCATTTGACCTTACATCTTCAATTCTGATTTTTTCTATTTAAGATCATTTCTTTAAGCCTTCTGGCTATCTTGTTTTCTCGACTAGCAAGTTGTTTTTATTCGGTAAGAATTGCTTCCCCCTTTTAGCCTAATCACCACAATAACAAAAAGAGAATATGTAAAGAGTTTCCTCTTCAGTAATATAGACA